TTTTTTAGGGTATTAGTATTAATCAGAAGCTTATAACACAATGAAGGAATCATTTCCGACCCTGTAAATCATATATATTCTTGATCAGAATGAAACGCTGAATCGATCTAGCCATGTCTTGTGGGAAAATAAAATTTTCCATTTTTCTTCAAAATTGCAAAAAAGATAAGGGGTTACATCATTAAAATTGTCAAAATTTGGCAAAAAATTGAATTTTGTAAATTCAAAAACTGAGTATGCAGATTTGTTGGCGCTATAAAATTAGCACAGAACAGCTTTTCGAATTGAAATTAACGCATTTTTGGCCTAATTATGATGTTTGAAAAACAGATTTTTAAAAAAATCCCTGTTTTATGCCATTTTGCAGGTTATTATAATTTTAGTCAGAGTCTTTTAGTACCATCAACAAACGCGGTACGCAGATTTGTTGGCGCTTTAAAAACTATCTCAGAACAGCTTTCCGAATTTAAATTTATTCATTTTTGGCTTAATTATGAAGTTTGAAAGACACGGATAATATAAAAAAATTGCCTGTTTTTATACCTTTTTAGGGTATTAGTATTAATCAGAAGCTTATAACACAATGAAGGAATCATTTCCGACCCTGTAAATCATATATATTCTTGATCAGAATGAAACGCTGAATCGATCTAGCCATGTCTTGTGGGAAAATAAAATTTTCCATTTTTCTTCAAAATTGCAAAAAAAGATAAGGGGTTACATCATTAAAATTGTCAAAATTTGGCAAAAAATTGAATTTTGTAAATTCAAAAACTGAGTATGCAGATTTGTTGGCGCTATAAAATTAGCACAGAACAGCTTTTCGAATTGAAATTAACGCATTTTTGGCCTAATTATGATGTTTGAAAAACGCAGATTTTTAAAAAAATGCCCTGTTTTTATGCCATTTGCAGGTTATTATAATTTTAGTCAGAGTTTTTAGTACCATCAACAAACGCGGTACGCAGATTGTTGGCGCTTTAAAAACTATCTCAGAACAGCTTTCCGAATTTAAATTTATTCATTTTTGGCTTAATTATGAAGTTTGAAAGACACGGATAATATAAAAAATTGCCTGTTTTTATACCTTTTTTAGGGTATTAGTATTAATCAGAAGCTTATAACACAATGAAGGAATCATTTCCGACCCTGTAAATCATATATATTCTTGATCAGAATGAAACGCTGAATCGATCTAGCCATGTCTTGTGGGAAAATAAAATTTTCCATTTTTCTTCAAAATTGCAAAAAAAGATAAGGGGTTACATCATTAAAATTGTCAAAATTTGGCAAAAAATTGAATTTTGTAAATTCAAAAACTGAGTATGCAGATTTGTTGGCGCTATGAAAATTAGCACAGAACAGCTTTTCGAATTAAATTAACGCATTTTTGGCCTAATTATGATGTTTGAAAAACGCAGATTTTTTAAAAAAATGCCCTGTTTTTATGCCATTTGCAGGTTATTATAATTTTAGTCAGAGTCTTTTAGTACCATCAACAAACGCGGTAAGCAGATTTGTTGGCGCTTTAAAAACTAGCTCAGAACAGCTTTCCGAATTTAAATTTATTCATTTTTGGCTTAATTATGAAGTTTGAAAGACACGGATAATATAAAAAATTGCCTGTTTTTATACCTTTTTTAGGGTATTAGTATTAATCAGAAGCTTATAACACAATGAAGGAATCATTTCCGACCCTGTAAATCATATATATTCTTGATCAGAATGAAACGCTGAATCGATCTAGCCATGTCTTGTGGGAAAATAAAATTTTCCATTTTTCTTCAAAATTGCAAAAAAAGATAAGGGGTTACATCATTAAAATTGTCAAAATTTGGCAAAAAATTGAATTTTGTAAATTCAAAAACTGAGTATGCAGATTTGTTGGCGCTATAAAAATTAGCACAGAACAGCTTTTCGAATTAAATTAACGCATTTTTGGCCTAATTATGATGTTTGAAAAACAGATTATTTTAAAAAATCCCTGTTTTTATGCCATTTTGCAGGTTATTATAATTTTAGTCAGAGTCTTTTAGTACCATCAACAAACGCGGTACGCAGATTGTTGGCGCTTTAAAAACTATCTCAGAACAGCTTTCCGAATTTAAATTTATTCATTTTTGGCTTAATTATGAAGTTTGAAAGACACGGATAATATAAAAAAATTGCCTGTTTTTATACCTTTTTAGGGTATTAGTATTAATCAGAAGCTTATAACACAATGAAGGAATCATTTCCGACCCTGTAAATCATATATATTCTTGATCAGAATGAAACGCTGAATCGATCTAGCCATGTCTTGTGGGAAAATAAAATTTTCCATTTTTTTTCAAAATTGCAAAAAAAGATAAGGGGTTACATCATTAAAATTGTCAAAATTTGGCAAAAAATGAATTTTGTAAATTCAAAAACTGAGTATGCAGATTTGTTGGCGCTATAAAAATTAGCACACAACAGCTTTTCGAATTGAAATTAACGCATTTTTGGCCTAATTATGATGTTTGAAAAACTGATTATTTTAAAAAATTCCCTGTTTTTATGCCATTTTGCAGGTTATTATAATTTTAGTCAGAGTCTTTTAGCACCATCAACAAACGCGGTAAGCAGATTTGTTGGCGCTTTAAAACTAGCTCAGAACAGCTTTCCGAATTTAAATTTATTCATTTTTGGCTTAATTATGAAGTTTGAAAGACACGGATAATATAAAAAAATTGCCTGTTTTTTACCTTTTTTAGGGTATTAGTATTAATCAGAAGCTTATAACACAATGAAGGAATCATTTCCGACCCTGTAAATCATATATATTCTTGATCAGAATGAAACGCTGAATCGATCTAGCCATGTCTTGTGGGAAAATAAAATTTTCCATTTTTCTTCAAAATTGCAAAAAAAGATAAGGGGTTACATCATTAAAATTGTCAAAATTTGGCAAAAAATTGAATTTTGTAAATTCAAAAACTGAGTATGCAGATTTGTTGGCGCTATGAAAATTAGCACAGAACAGCTTTTCGAATTAAATTAACGCATTTTTGGCCTAATTATGATGTTTGAAAAACGCAGATTTTTTAAAAAATGCCCTGTTTTTATGCCAATTTGCAGGTTATTATAATTTTAGTCAGAGTCTTTTAGTACCATCAACAAACGCGGTAAGCAGATTTGTTGGCGCTTTAAAAACTAGCTCAGAACAGCTTTCCGAATTTAAATTTATTCATTTTTGGCTTAATTATGAAGTTTGAAAGACACGGATAATATAAAAAAATTGCCTGTTTTTATACCTTTTTTAGGGTATTAGTATTAATCAGAAGCTTATAACACAATGAAGGAATCATTTCCGACCCTGTAAATCATATATATTCTTGATCAGAATGAAACGCTGAATCGATCTAGCCATGTCTTGTGGGAAAATAAAATTTTCCATTTTTTTCAAAATTGCAAAAAAAGATAAGGGTTAATCATTAAAATTGTCAAAATTGGCAAAAATTAATTTGTAAATTCAAAAACTGAGTATGCAGATTTGTTGGCGCTATAAAAATTAGCACAAACAGCTTTTCGAATTGAAATTAACGCATTTTTGGCCTAATTATGATGTTTGAAAACACTGATTATTTTAAAAAATTCCCTGTTTTTATGCCATTTTGCAGGTTATTATAATTTTAGTCAGAGTCTTTTAGCACCATCAACAAACGCGGTAAGCAGATTTGTTGGCGCTTTTAAAACTAGCTCAGAACAGCTTTCCGAATTTAAATTTATTCATTTTTGGCTTAATTATGAAGTTTGAAAGACACGGATAATATAAAAAATTGCCTGTTTTTTACCTTTTTTAGGGTATTAGTATTAATCAGAAGCTTATAACACAATGAAGGAATCATTTCCGACCCTGTAAATCATATATATTCTTGATCAGAATGAAACGCTGAATCGATCTAGCCATGTCTTGTGGGAAATAAAATTTTCCATTTTTCTTCAAAATTGCAAAAAAGATAAGGGGTTACATCATTAAAATTGTCAAAATTTGGCAAAAATTGAATTTTGTAAATTCAAAAACTGAGTATGCAGATTTGTTGGCGCTATGAAAATTAGCACAGAACAGCTTTTCGAATTAAATTAACGCATTTTGGCCTAATTATGATGTTTGAAAAACGCAGATTTTAAAAAATGCCCTGTTTTTATGCCAATTTGCAGGTTATTATAATTTTAGTCAGAGTCTTTTAGTACCATCAACAAACGCGGTAAGCAGATTTGTTGGCGCTTTAAAAACTAGCTCAGAACAGCTTTCCGAATTTAAATTTATTCATTTTTGGCTTAATTATGAAGTTTGAAAGACACGGATAATATAAAAAATTGCCTGTTTTTTACCTTTTTTAGGGTATTAGTATTAATCAGAAGCTTATAACACAATGAAGGAATCATTTCCGACCTGTAAATCATATATATTCTTGATCAGAATGAAACGCAGAATCGATCTAGCCATGTCTTGTGGGAAAATAAATTTTTGCATTTTTTTTCAAAATTGCAAAAAGATAAGGGGTTATATCGCTAAAATTGTCAAAATGTAGCATATTATTCAGTAAATATTGATTTAAAGAGACAGAAAAAGGCCAGCTTGTGGCCTCAAGAAGTCGTCAAATATCCTCTTTCTCTATAACTATGCGTATTAGTGATTTCCTTTTAAATTTTAAACTTCTACGGATAAGATACATACAAAACTGGTTGAGGCTATAAGAAAACTTAATTAAACATGTTATTTTTATATTTTGTATTTCCCATTTTTTAGAACATTTCGGAGCAGGCACTCACACCAGACCGATAGGGCCTAATCAGAATAAGATAGTATGGAGTGAGTGGGTCATATGATCGATAGCTTTCGGCAGCTTGAGCGGAAAGTTTGGAAACGACAAATACGTGGTATTCATGTTAAATGCATAGGTGTTTGGTTTATTATAAAATTACAATAAATACATAGAGTGTCAACCACATTCCTAATGCATCAGTTAAGGGCAGTACGCTTTAGAGGGTCACAGAAAAGGGTCCAAGGGTAAGGGTTATCGAGCCTATTCGTACTGGGGAGCGTACTTCTTGTAGACCTCGATATAGTAGGCCTTGGCATCATCGGCGGTGAGACCGGCCTTGCTCTTCCAGGCGTTATAGCGGGCCTTCTTCTCCTCATCCTCGGGCTCCTCGATGTTGCAATCGCCAACGGTGGCCTGCTTGTAGTAGCCGTAGAACTCGAGGAACTCCTCCTTGCTGGGCAGGTTCTTGAAGTTCTTGGCCTTCTCGACGATCTCCTCAAACTGCAGGTCACAAACAAAAATTTTATAAAGATGTTGGAAAAGTATAGGATGTGTAAAACTCACGGTGGGCATGTTGGCGTCTTGTTAGTTGGTATTGGCAAACAAAAACAATCTGTGGGATAGCGCCACAGTTGCTGTTTATATATTGGCAAACATGGCTCATACCCTTTGCTAATCTAATCATTACTCGCTTTCCCCACTGCAATTGTAGTTCCCACTCGTTGGCTTATCACCAAAGTATATAGCGAAGTAATCACTGAAAGTGAGAGTTGGTCTGGGGCCACTGAAGTGTATATAATTAGTCAGAAGCTTATCGTCGCACTTGCACTTGCCAAAAAATATGCACATGGCCCCATGTTGCCACTATCGGCCCGGCTGATAAGGTCGAGCCCCGAATCTGATGAGTTGGGGCAGCGTGGCCAAAAATCTGGGTAGCCAACAGGCCAATAACTTAATTAATGGCCAGTCATAGACTTGGCTCTTACACATAATTCACGTGAGTCAGGGCCTATCTATCGGAGGTGTTATCATGGTGAAGTCGCACGATCTGGTGCTAAGAATAGTCCCTCGGCCAGATAGTAGTATCTGCTTTTTAGGACTCCCAAAATATATTAATTAAACTTTTTCAAAGATATTCCCGTCTCCAACTTGACGATATACATTTGGGCAATGCACCTGGCATTATTCAAATTAATTAAATTTCGTAACACCAGAGAATGGAGGACTATAAAAGTTGACTGTTGGCGGGGAGATATTACTTAGTATCACTCGTATATCCAGCAAGATGGTCAGTTTTGAAGAAGCCGCCGAGCTCGCCAAGAACTTCTCCAAGAAGCCCACCGACTCCGAGTTCCTGGAGTTCTACGGTCTCTTCAAGCAGGCCACCGTTGGCGATGTGAACATCGATAAGCCCGGCATCCTGGATCTCAAGAAGAAGGCCATGTACGAGGCCTGGAGCTCCAACAAGGGTCTGTCCAAGGAGGCTGCCAAGGAGGCCTACATCAAGGTGTATGAGAAGTACGCCCCCAAGTACGCGTAAAGCCTAGTTTTTGGATTATACTCCATCATCTGTTAAATAAACTCGAAATCTTACCCTGAGAAACTATAGACTCCGCTTACTTAACCCGCTCTTAAAAGGCTGCCTCGGATTGAGGCATTGAAACCGCGGCTGCGATGAGCGGCTTGGCTTGGCCAGCCTTCATCAGCATCACACGGATTTGGGAGTTATCCGGGTTGAGAGTGGCCGGTGGCAGCTTATCCAGTGGATCCAGCACCGCCACCACTTCAAAGTCCACTCGCAGGGGGACTCCCGGCAGGACACTGGGCAACCGGGCTAGCGTCTGAGGCACAGTGTAGTGGCGTCTATCCGCATGGAGTAGCACCACGAGATTTGAAGCCATCTTGAAGGTGGACAGGTTCTGAACGGTGAGGTAGAGCCGAAAGGCGGGTCCGCTGCCACAGACCTCGGCGGATAGCTTGACGGGGGCATGGGTCAGGTCGCCGGATATCGTACTCTCCGAGGAGTTGATGGCATCGATGGTGGCCCGAGCAGCCGTGTGACGCAGGCGCCACAGTTCCACCTGAAAGCTGCCATAAGTGGCTGATAGATTGAGAAGTTGATAATATTGATTCATATTCTTTTATGTTGAAAAGTAAGAACTACCGTGATATGTTAAGAAAGGGATTTTCAGGAAACTGAGTCATTTCATAATCTATTAATTTCCAAATTCAATGGTGTAGCCAACGCTATCAATCAAAGTGTAATCTTTAAAATAATGGAAAAATACTGTGGCCAAAACTATAAATCGATTTATAAAGGCGAGACCTACATATAGCATATTTTGTACAAGGTATTCCCGCTTACCTTTGGCCTGCTGCTTCTCTCGCGCCGCCTGCTCTACAAAAATGGAGCTCTTCTTGGGCTTGTCCAGAATAGAGGCATCCACATTTGATCCGTGATCACTGCCTAAACGCTTGTTGCCCAGCTCACCGGGCTTGGGCTCAAACCGAGAGACCCTCCGCAATATCTTGACCACAATATCGCCTGACTGAGTGATGAGGGTGAGAACGTGATCCTCCATGCCCATCCTGCCGTACAGCATGGCATCCACTGTCTCGCTTAGAGCGAACTCATCAACCTGGTAGCGTTGTAAGTAAACTTCACCAGGCCCCCTTTTAGGGCAATGGCCACCAGAGTGAGTCCCAGATGGGTCATAGGCAGGGGCAGTATGCAGACGGGCAGATCCTGCAGCGGCACCTGGTACAGCAGCTTGCCACGCTTCGAGTAGCACAGATAACGATTGTCCATCGTGGAGGCAATGATGGTCTGGTCAATGGGTAGGAGCAACAGTCCGGTTAGCGGTGTTCCCAGCTTGAAGATTTCCTGGCCCTCGGATTGGGTCTTGCGCAGCAGATAGACACCGCCATTCCGCGTGGCCACCACAATGCAGAAATCCGTTTCATAGGTTCCCTGAACGGAAATCAGGCTCGGCACTGCGGTCTCATCGCCGCAGGTTTGGCCTTCGAACACCAAATTGAAGCCCTGGGGCTCCAGAATAAGGACACTGCCACTATCAGTGGCCAGAACCAAGTGGGACGGTGGATTCGCGTCGCTGGAGATGCGCTTCAGGAGGCACATGGCCACGATGCTGCCTCCGCGACCCACTGGTGAGTCCTTGTGCATCGTAATGAAGGCCTCCCGCTCCTCCTCGCCCAACTGGAGCAGCCGCTGCGACTTTCGCGAGAGCTTGGCGTGGTCAATGTTCCGTAGGGATTCGAGCAGAGCGGGATGGGTGTCCTGCTTCATCACCGGCAGCTTGCGCCACACCTCCAGCTCGAGGTCCTCGGAGTCCTGGGCGGGAATCGTGTACTTAAAGTACGGTTTCAGGTGGCGGTAAAAGAGCACGGACTCGGCAATGGCAACAGCAATTACTGGGGATTAATAAGGGTTTCAAATAGTTGTTAGTTTTAAATAAAATAAAGAAGGGAGAAATTTTACCCGGCGTCTTTGGTTCCGACTCGTCAATGTAGAGGCTCTCAATGGCCGTGGGAATCCCCGGCAGTGGCTGCTCCTGCTTGAGCTTCAGTCCCCGGAACACTTTCAGCGTGGCACTGGGTTCCTCTGCGGCGTCGTCCAGCGAAATGTCCGCTGCCAGGAGCCGAACATACCCATCGCATTGGACGTCACTCAAGGTCATGCAGCTGGAGAGCGTTGTGATCTGCGGGCGTGAAGTCTCGTCCTCAGTGTCCACGTGAAGCCAGTTGGGTGCACTGGCGGCCATGGCTGGATCTCAATCTTACGGAATACTTTGCACTGGCAGTGTGAAAACGAACAGATGATTCAGTTAAGGCATTTGTTTTGGTTTTCATTTTCCCTAGCAACGGCGCCGAATAGTTTGAAAATGCAATCGATAACATATTAACATCCCATACAGGGTATTATAATGTTAGTCAGAAGCTTGAAACGCTATGAATGAGTCGTTTCCGAACCTATAAATCATATATATTCTTGATCAGCATTAAAAGCCGAATCTTTCTAGCTTTGTCCGGTTGAAAAAAAAAATTCAAATTTTTTTCAAAATTTGAAAATTTTATAAGGGTTACATCGTTAAAATTTGCAAAATTTTACAAAAAAATTAATTTCTTTAAATTTAAAATCGGGTATGCAGATTTAATACCCTAATAAAAACTAACATAAGACTGCTTTCCAAATTAAAATTAATGCCTTTTTGGCTTACTTATGAGATTTTTAAACTTTGATATGTCTAAAAATTTGTCATATAAATATATTGATAAATATCGATTCAAAGAATGCGGGTATTTAAATCTTAGTTATGATAAATAAGAAATAAAGAAGATAAATAAAAATGTTGCTTTCATAAGTCGAAAAATGTCACATTGCCAGCTTTTAGGTTTTTTATATTATGTGGCTAATATGCGTTGCATCTTTTGGGCGCACCGCACAAGCAACAGTTAAAAATAAAAATTATTGCATACTTTTGTCCTCAGTTTCAAATTTGTTTGCCTCACTTGCCACCAGTTATGCTCACCTACCTTTACTGCACAGCTGGGAAAAATATGCATCCCATTTGCTCTTATATTGGTAAAACTTTTAAGATAATTAATATGGTTTGGTTTTCAATTTAATAAAAAAATATTATTTTAACCCTCTATTTTCAGCGAAGTTGTAAACCTCTTGCCATTCAAGTTGTGCACCATTTTATGACCGTTTGCACCTAATTTATACCAGCATTTATTTATTTACATCTTCTACTTGATCTTATGGTCACATTAAACGTACACACGTACAAACAACTCCACAATTTTGTTTTTAATAGTTTTCTAGCGTTAAGTGAATTATTAACCCTTTGTTTACCCCAAGTTATGACGGAGCTCAAGGACGAGGTGCAGGTTTTTCAAAAGGGCGAGATAGTCCTCTGCTACGAACCGGATAAATCGAAGGCCCGAGTGCTCTACACGAGCAAGGTAACGCGTCCACGCACACACGCACTCGCAACCCACACCCGCGCAGTTACTGGAAGGGTTCGGTTTTCACGCTGTTTTCATAAATTTTCCGCAGGTTTTGAACGTCTCCGAGCGCCGCGACGAACATGGTCTAAGGTACTACGACTACAAGATCCATTTCCAGGGCTGGCGACCCTCCTACGATCGGGCAGTACGTGCTGCGGTTCTGCTGAAAGACACGGAAGAGAATCGCCAGCTGCAGCTCGAGTTGGCGGAGGCGGCGCAGCTGCAGATGTAAGTATCCACACACACGAAATGTGTTCGTATGTATTTGTGTGTGTTGTTGGAAATGCCGGTTCCAGTGTTTTCTAACCTTTCGTTTTCACCTGCAGAAGGGGCGATTACTCGTACAAGGGCACACCCGACAAGCCGCCGCCGAAGAAGAAACGTACCGGCAGGGCCGCCTACGTCGAGGATCCTGCTGTAGACCCTCTGGACACAGCGCCCTTGGCATCAACAGCTGAGCAGGAAATGCCGCCGACACACCGAACCCCAGCCGCTGGCAACCGGGCGCGCGACAACAGTGGCGGCAGGAAGGAGAAGGCCGCACATGGAGATGGCAGGACAAAGACGTCTCGCGGACGGCAGGCGGAAAATGCCGAGGACGTGCATATCCTGGAGCCTGACTTGGAGCGGTTCGTCTGCCAGGAGGATCGGGTGATGTTGCGTATCAGCGAGCGGCTGCGTGAGTATATGGAGTACGACTACAACATGGTGGTGAAGTTGGGCAAGCAGCACATTATGCCCGCCCGAATGCCCATCGTGTCCATACTGGAGAGTTTGTGAAGCAGCGAGCCGTGGAGCTGGCCATTGGCATCAAGCAGGATAGCTCCAGGGCCAGGAACACCAAGAGCGGCAATGCCCGCATGTACCGGGAATATGATCGCGTCATGTCCATGTATGTAAACAATAATCCGTAGCTGGAACCAGAATTAAACTCTCCCCTTGCAGTGTCTGCATGCTGAAGGAAGTGGTGGACGGCATCGGATCTACTTTGAGTTTCACGTTGATGATCACCTTCTGTATAAGGAGGAGAAGGAGTACGCTCACAACTATCTCACCGACGACAACATGCGGAACTGCAGTATCTTGCTGAACAAGTCCTACGACTACATCAATCCCAGCTGCGACACCGAACTGATCTCAATGGACGGCACGCCCGTGATTTCAAGCAACGGCCAGGAAGATGGCGGTATCCTTGGCGGGAAGGAGTACGAGGACCAGCTGCAGAAGTGTCTGTTGTATATCGTGAAGAGCACTGGTAAGAACACGGCACAGGCCTACGATCGTACGTCGCCTTTTACGGCCGCCTACAAGCTGCCGCGTGAAATGCGTGGCTTCCTCTGCGAAACCTTCAACTGGCGGCTGTTATCGGCGGAGTCGCCGCCAGAAAGTCCATGGTATTTGGCGCCCCCATTTGGCCAGGATGATGAGTGAGTTGAATCCACAGCTGCCTAAGAAATGTAAAAACGGTAAATTTGTCTTTGCAGTCAAGTTGCCCGAGTTCCTGAATGCCTCGCCCATGTCCAACAAGAAGCTAGAGGTTCTGCTGCCACACCTGGACTCGTTCATCAAGTGAGTTGCATCTCTGATAGCTTAAGACATATTGTAACTAATGAATTTATTATAGCTACTTGGAGAACCACAAACAGTGGTTCGACAAGGAGAACTACATGCATCCCACCGTGCACCAGGAGCAACTACAGCGGGAGTTGCTTGAGTCCCTGGAACGTCCCATACAGATGTCCGCCGCTTAGCTTTAGTTAATCGTACGCTAGTTTATTTATTATTATTCATTTTAAAGCTTATGTTCGTTTATTTTAAAGATTTGTAATTGTCGCTTCATGAATGTCAATCATGCTTTTGGTTTCTCCAACTACGCGCTTTGTAAATAACTCGCTTCTATAAAAAACATTTCCTACACATGTATAATCGAATAATGTCTACAACATATGTTAAATATGTGGAAAATACGATTTTAACTTTTTTTACCTTTTTTTTGTTTTTTTTTTCGCTTAGCCTATGTTTTAGTTGAGTAGTTTACAGCTAGTATTTTTGTCTCCTTTGTTTTGTGCTCAAATATATTTAAGAATTTGAAAACTGACTTCTGTCTTTTCTGTATTAAGGGTATTGCGGACCTTCAGTTGGAATGTGCAGGGGGAATATCCTTGGAATTGTATAACTTCTCAAAATATTGCAACTGTAACGACTATCTATCCGAGTGCTGTTTTGTGTTTCAGATCCTGCCTAGAAATTCGAAATTGTCTCTTGGACGGTTTGGAGTTGGATGCATTCGCTTTTGTAACATGTGTAAACTTGGGACGTTAACTGGACAGTGGACAATGACGCCTACTTCTGGCGCTTGGTGGCACTGCTGGCCGTGGGTCGCATGAAGCTGCTCACGGACCGACTGCTGCTGGAGCTCCGCTGAGCCTGGCTACTCGGATTTCCATTCATCCTGGCCTGCTGCTGCTGGTTTATCGCGTTCTTTACCAGCACCACACTGCGAGCGGCGCTCATTCGGGACTGAGACTGCGGCTGAGACTGTGACTGGGACTGGTTCTCCTTAAAGCTGGTGCTGCCGCTGATATTTGTCCTTGGAGCTGTGCTGGTCATCTTGCTGCGCACCAGGATCACACTGGGTCCCACACTGGACCCACTGCTGCTGCTTCTGCTGGCCGGTACGCCACGTCCAGGCGTTGGCCGCATATTCTGGGCTGCCAGTGGCCTTTTACTCGGCGAGGAATCCACGGATACGGTGGCTCCGGCACGCTGCACAGCCGGCAGACGTCTAACCACTGTCTGCGTGGAGGCTCCACTATTGATGGATGAGCGAGAAGAGCGCAGACTGTTCCTCGAACTGCTCCGTTCCACTCCAGCAAGGATTTGCTGCTCCTGTGGCAACGTCTTACAGCGGAGGCGGAACGGAGGGGCGCAGCACTGGCCAGAGGCTGACCATTGGGCATGCGCAGCGGCCTGCTGGCGGAGAGGCTCCTCTTTACGGTGGCCGTTTGAGTGGCAGGGACTTGGTTTTGTGACTTTGTTGCTGACGTTGCCGCAGAGGAACCACTCCCCTTCATTCTGGCCTGCTGCAGGCGGTCGGCCAGGCGGCTGCCCATATGTGTGAGGCTGGTGGGCGTCGCCTTCTGCTTCTGTAGTGGACGCTGGCGGGAAGGTGTTGACTCGTTGACTCCCTCGTTGCAGGAGGAGTTGGTGCTTTCGCCCTTTCCGTGCGAGGGTGTGTCTGACACCAGACTCTGTGTCTCCTCGAAGCCCTCGTCGTTCAGTTCGTGGTGTCCGCTGGCGGATAGCTTCAGTTTCGAGGGCGTAATCTCCCTGGGCGGACTCCAAGGTCGTTCGGGAGTGCCTGTGGGTGACTTGAGATTCCTGATGGCCTCTCGGACATCCTCCTGATTGATGGAGCTGATGTGCCGACCCACCTTCTCCAGCTTGGTGATCGTGCGCTCCTTCTGCTTTGACTTTTCTGCTGGCACTGGCTGCTCTGTCTTCGATGGAGAAGTCTTGACCTCAGGCTTGCTGCTGGTCAGGTGCTCCTCGGTACCACTGCTGTAGTCTGTGGGCCTCTTGTAGCGACGAGTGCGCCGGCCCAAGGCATGACGATCGAAGTGACCGGGAGCATCTTGCTCTGCTGATCCCACCACCAAGCTTATCTTCTCCTCCGCGGTGCCTTGGGCTTGTCCGTCATGCTCACCGTGACCACTGTGGTGGTGGGGGTGGCTATCACCCGGCGACTCACTGGCGGCGTCTCAACATTATCCGCATCCACCTCCTTCGAGGAGGCCTGCATCTCGTTCTGGTTTTTGTGGTGACTGAGCAGGCTGGCAAAGGTATCATCCGACACCTGTGACTTTGGTGACTTGGGCTCCTCTTTCTTCGCAGCAGCATATCCCTGCTCGAGGATCTCCTAATGTAGATCTTAAGGGTTTCATTGCTCATGTCCCTTTCGCCCAATTCTGGATATATGACTTCCTGCGATCTTCTTCGGCTATCGATTGCAGCGCTCCGGGACTCTGTTGGTCCTGCGATCGCTGGCGACGATACTGACGCAGGGCATCCTGGGCAGGCTGGGCATCGGCAATGGCCTGCAGATTAGCCACCACGTCTGTCTGCTCCAGGGTCTTTGATGGCTTCCAATCAGCGTAGACTCGCTGGTATCTTCCGGCCTCCTGCTCCGGCTTGTTTGTGGAGTTAGTGGGATTAGTGGTTGTGGGCGTATTCGTTGGCGTTTCTGTCGTCGTCGAAGGCATGATCTTCTCCTCCGGAGGGGGTCCAGTTTTCGTTCGTTTTCTGAGAACAGAGGAAGGGGTTGCTTATGCAGGTTCCATGATGATACTCGATGGGAATCTCACCAGTTTCGTTTTCGAGCGAACGCCGATTGGCGTTGACCAGACGACGTTTCGCCTGTACTCCTCGTTCTGCTTCTCGTCGCTTTCGTTGGACTGCAGCCATGTCTCATTTCTGTCGCCATTCACGGGATATTCTGAAAGCGGAAGTTATAATTTCGTTAGTAATTTATTTTTAAGAATTGAACTAGAATCCTCACCTTGGTTTCGCATCCTCGTTTGCTGGCTGCGGCTGCCCTATCGCTGATGCACCGCCCGTTGGCGTATTCGCTGCAGTGGTGGGCGTGCCTGCTGTACTAGCCAGCGGGGATTGCAGTCTCTCCTGCCCCTGCGGCGCTGCTGTTGCTGCTGGAGAAGCGGAGCTGGTGAGCTTGCCCGCTCCCGATCCAGACCAAAGTCAATATTCAACAGATCGGGACGTTTGCGGCTGGAACTTCCGGAGCGGGCACGACGTGCCCATGAACGATCCAGACTGCCATATGCCGCCGCCTTACGTTCCCGGCTGATGTGACCATCGTTGGGACCCGTGGAACTACGCAAAAACTCCATCAGGTCGTCCTCTCCTTCAAGTACACGACTGCGCCGGCGCCGCAGACTTCCGTTGGGTGTGATATCTGGCGAAGCACCATCCTGCTCCAGGCGGATGAAACCGTTGCTGATCTCTCCGGATCCCAGGTGTCGGCGACTCAGCGCTGGGCTAGCCCGAGGATCGAAAAGCGCATCGCCCAAAAAAGAGTGCTCCGAATCGGATACGGGGGTGCCAGCCTGACCAACTTCAAATTAAATATAATGACTAGTTAAGCTTGTATTGAGAAGATTTTTTTGGAGAAACTTACTCTGCCTGGCTCTGCGTGCCAACTGCTCCTCGCGCTGCTTTCTCCTCAATGTGGCCTGCTGCTCCTGCTGCTGACGGCGCTCGTTCTCCTTGACGCCTGCCGGAACTTATCACAGAAATTGTGGAAAATCTTGAAGCACTCCTCCAGCCGGAAGGTGGCCGCATCATCGCAGAAGAACTCGGAGAGCTTGAGGCGCATGGACTCCACCTGCTTCATACCCGACTGTAGGACGGCAAGCTCGGACTCAGCGGCCTGCAGGAACTCCGCCATCTGCTCCTTGATGTCCGCATCCGTGGCGGGCTGTTCGATCTGCCTGGCTATCCGCCTAATCCTGCCATCCAGCGTGTTGATCTCATTGTTAATCTGCTCTGCGGTTGTTCTGGGAGAATAGGATAATAAATTATGATATGATGCCTTTGGGTGTATAGTAGTAGTTCACTTACTTGCTGGCACTCTCCAAGGTGCTCAACTGTCCCGTGAACTGCAGCAGGTCCGGATTGCGTTTCTCGGCCTGCAGGGCCACAAAGTGGATGAGGTTCATTCCGGGTTTATTCGCTCGGATGTCGGTGAGCTTCTGCAGCGAGGATAGCTTCACACCCGCCGCATTACCCGCATATCCGCCGGAGTTGAGGAAGTTTCCAGCCACCACAACCATGTAGAGGACCTCTTGTAGAGTCTTGTTTTGAGCAGATCATCTCCTGCATACAACATGGCATTGATGCAGGGCTCTAGATAGGCACATTGGCCGCAAACTCCTCCTTGAGCAACATGCTCTCAATTCGCAATTTGTAGCTGTGAATAAAGGAGAATAGTAGTAGTAGGGATTCTAGGAATCCAATGGCAGACACTCACTTGGGCACCTCCAGCAGCTGGAGGAGGAACTTCTCGGCATTCCCGAGTCGCCCCCGGTCCCCGTTGAAGCCCTTCAGCATATCGAGCTCATCCACCTCGGGCAGGATCTTCAGTAGTCCTCGCAGTCTCTCCGCTCCAATCTCCTCGTGGGCGCCCTGCTTTATCAACTGGATAATATCGTCGTTGCTGGTGCGGAACTGCTTCAAGAAGATGTTGACATTGAGACTCCTCTTGCCATCTAGCAGAGTGATCTCAGTGCACTCCTTTTTCGACTTTCGGTCTAGGGTGTCGCATCCATTGGAGCCAGAGGAAGCATGGCTTCCCTCTCGTCCCAACTTGGAGATCCTTGTGCACTAGTAGTCTGTAGGCAAAAGAGTCCTTCCATTTCGTTCCAGTCAATGTCCTGCATCGGACTGTCCTGGTGATTGCTGGCCACGATGCTCCAGATATTCTGTTTTCCCAGGACCTTGTTGTGCGGAATCTTGCCCCAGTTAATGGTCTTCATCTTGGCTTGGGCGCTGGTGTGTCTTGTTGGGGCAGCAGTATGGCAGTGTTCGCTGTCTCTGCGGCCTTGGGATCTGGTGTCCTGGGCCTCGAGGCCATCTGCATAGCTGGAGGAGGCGGTGGCGGTGGCAGGGAGCTGCCATTAATCATGGGCGGCGGCGGAGGTGGTGGTGCGGCCCCATTTACCGGCGGAGGCGGGGGCGGTGGTGCTGTGGGTGCAGATGGAATAGCAGGCGCTGGGGGTGGTGGTGGCGGCGGCTTCCAGCCACGCCCCCTGGCTGCGTCGAAGGTTTGCGGGTGGGGCTGCTAGCATCACTGCCGCGGCAACTCTGGCACGCGAACTTCTGGCTGCTGGGCGTGCGAGCAGACGAACTGCATCCTCGTGGCTCTCGAGGAGCGTGGCGCGATGAACAAGTCGCTCTGTGGTGTCCCAGATGATGTCGCTGAGCGGCTCCTTGGGATCGATGCGCAGGAGGTGCTGCAGAAGGCTGAGAACGGTCCCTCCTGTGGCGTATCGGCCACCTGGAGATATAGAAATATAGAAATAATATTTAAATTAGTCTTCTTAAAATCATTGTCACCATTAAAATGTTCCCCATTGCTTAAATTTTTTTTAACTACTTGTATGCCTTATTTGAGGTTCCACTGTAATTATCGAGCGACCTTAGTGGACATCATTAGCATTCCAAAATTTGTCCTTGATCCGCTTGCATGGCCAATGACCTTGGTCAAATCCTTTCCGGCCACCTTGCGTATACGTAATGTAGCAGGAAATAACTCATACGCACTGTTGCACCGCACCACGGCATGGCACTCACCTGTCGCAATATCGCATAGAAGACATCAAGATGTGAGTTTAAATTGATGCCATCGGGCGCCTGAAGGCTCTGGGCCTCGTCGCATTCCTGCTGCTCCACGAATACGTCCAATTGTACGATGATATCGCCCACACTTTGTGCGACTTTTCTGCAATGTGAAAATTAAGGCGTTAAGGGGTTAAGTTCTAGAAAATCTTGATCGAGTTAATTATTCAGTTTGCTGCTCGCAATTTGTAAGCTGTTGTTGCCGACTTGACATTTCTCACTGCGATTTAATTGATTTCTTATTTATGTTATGTATCTGGCAGTAAATAAATACTATATGCTATGTGGGACGTGGGGTTGGAGGAGGGATGTCCACAAGTAGTTGACGGTTGCCAGAATCGATAGGGAACAACAACGCTGACGCCTGACATTGAGTAACCTTTCGGAGGCTGTCTAAGGCCCTACGACGACTCACTTTAGATTCTGCACCAGTTGCAAGGCGGCGCAGCTGTAGCGAGACAGCGAGCCGCAGAAAGTTAGACGGCGCTGCAGGTGCCGCGGCGATGGCACTGGCGACACGGAAGCGGAAACGGATACGGATGACGTTGACGGGGAGGAGGGGACGAAGTCGCAGAGGAGAGCGATGGCGGCGGCGAGGGCGATGCTGACGACTCCACGTTGTAGCCTTGGCAGTCAACTCACTGGCACACCATATTCGCGGCGTGCAAAATCGTTAGCCTTGCGCAATGTCCTTGCTCAGCTCCGCTTTTGGCCCGACAATTGATATCCATGCACCGACTGAGACTGGACTGGGACTGGGACTTGGCCTGAGACTGCGACTGGAACTGGCCTTTTTAATTGCCTCCCAAAAACAGAAACGGCAAACTATTGCGGTTCAGAGTTCGAACGAGACGAGAGCACGGCCAGAATGGCAATAACGAGGACGCGGCAGGACGGCGCGCGACAAGCTGGCACGACTCCGTATGAGATATGGCCACGACTTGGCGGCACGGAGAGGAAAGCCTCCGAACATCGCAACATCGGAGCCTCGGAGCCATCCGATCCGTTTGTTTTTGGCAGCCACGTGCTGCGCGCGCAGGAGTTTGCTATGCGGTCTCTTTTATTTTTGTGGAGCCACTTCGTCAACATCCATCGGGCCGGGCCCATTTGGACACCCGGCCACCTGCACGTGATTCTCCATTGTTTTGGTGTTTAGCCAGCCGATTTCTATTTTAGTCCGTCACGGAAGTCGTCAGGGTTTAAGGGAGAGTGCGGGGGCCGGGAAATTGGGCAACCGAAATGCCAAACTACTAAACTTGAAACGGAAGCCGCTAGGAAAACCTTAAAGCGAATTTAAGTTCATTAAAATGTTTGGATTAAATTCAATTTCCTATAGCGGATAATAAAGGGAATTGAAAAGGAAAGTCCTTAAAGTATTACATGATAATATTATATATTATTTCTGAAGAATCAATGCATAAAATACCATTAAAACCTTAACAAGAATATTGAAAAAACAAACAATTAAAAATACAAAGCTGGAAAGTCAAGAACATTCACTTTCAAGGTTGGATTATTATGTTTACCAATACAACGACTCAAGTACCTGGGATCTTAAGAAAACAATTCATTTAAAATATATATCCCCTATTTCAATTTCCGACTTCTCAGACCCTCCATAAACATTCTATAGCCATTTCAGATGTCTATTCTTGACACGGCAATATTAATCCATGAAATGCGATACTTTAGAGTTTTATTTTTAGCAGACATTTTGAGAGTTTGACGGTAATTCGATACCAAGACACATCCATCATTCCAGCACTGATAAAAAACCAAGAATCAGATTTCGATTCGATTAGAACTCATTATGAAGAGAACAATTAAAAGCCGCTTAAAGCATCTGGGCAGCTTCCAAGCTACGCAGTCGCCAGACGCCCATAAATTGTGATCCTCCTCTCGAAGGCGGGCCGAAATCAAAGCGCGTCGCGACTCAATGAAAACGTTTAAAGCGATTCATGGAGATTCGAGAAATTCCAAATAAATTAAATAGCGCCCAAACTACGCATTTCGTTGATGTGAGCGCGTTAAAATTTTAATAACAATAGAACCGAAGGGGGTCCTCGCTCAGGCAGTCACTCCGTCACTCAAGAATGGAAAAATGCCACAAGACAAATGGCATGAGACAATCAATTAGTCAACTTTCTCCGTGGAATCTGCAAATGCGGACAGCTTGTTTGTTATTGTTCGCATTTGGGCCTGAACTATTTCAGAAACTTAATTGAATTTGTTAGTTTCCCTCGTTTCCTATACAGAGAGACAGCAAGACAGAGCTACAAATTTGTCAACCAGAGGGCCATAAATAAACCCGTTTTGAAAAGGGTGAGGCGCGGGGGCGAGCAGCATCCAACTAATTGATTTATTGTTGACTAATTAAATATTGAATTAATTGGTTGGCCGCAGGGGCTCGAAAGCAGCGCAAATTATTTACATAAGACTCGATCCGATCCGAATGGCATCTCTTGGGGTCTTTGGTTTTGACGAATGTCTGAGCGGTCATTAGCGATCCGCCCCCCTTTTGAAGACGGTCCCTTGCAAATACCTTGATCTTGTCTCGCATGCAAATTAAATGTGCGTTCAAATAAAACATAAAATCGCTAAACTGTTTGCGATACTCATTTGCCTGATTGTGGGAGACTTTCAGGGTTTTTCACCCAACAACTTGTTGGCCAAACGATCTTCACACGCTCGCAGCGGAATATCAATTCACCGACGCCCTCAGACAATGTACGTAGGTGCTCGACAATGTCTCGTCTTCGGGTTTTTAATGCGCACAATATAAAAAACTTTTATTGATCGTCCTCCTGATGGCTATACTTCAACACAACACTCACCTTAGGTTATTGAGCAGCGGCAAAACTTTGAGACCTGCAAGACAAATGGAGAAAAGCATTAATTGGAGGTGTTGAATTGAGGCGAGAAATGTTCAAGTGTCAGAAAAATCATAAAAAAAATTTCATAAAAAACGTATTAAAATAAATTGTAATGAGTAAATTCCAGGAATTTCCAATCTATACACCAAAAGGATCATTGATATCATGGCCTTATAATACTAATAATTTTAATTCCCATTTTATTGATTCTTTTCAAATACAAACTGAACTTTAGGCTTGAATTTATTAAAATTTAAACAGTTTATGCTAATTTTAGGCAGATAAATCAATTTGTCTGCTTTATATGTTTGTTTTGATTACCTTTTGTGGGAAATTACTCAAAGTGTATGAATAAATATTGTCTGTTAATATGATCATGGCCTTATACAACAAATTGAGTATAATTTATGACTTTCCTCAACTTTGCACTTATAGAGTTTAAAAGTATAGTTAAAATTTAAATGTACATGGAAAAAACCCTTTACTGAGTTTTTAAATATTATGAGTACATTTATTAATATCTTGAAAGTTTTCTATTATCCAATAAGTATAAACAAAGTGTTCAATTTAGCCCAGAATAATTCTAAAATAAATTTTTATGCCATTATCTTCTTTGTTGGTTCCAAAATCCACCAAAACAGTTGAAATATTCGATTTTCGGAAGCAAATTAAATTTAAGGGGCTTATAAACACAGTCGCACTTGGAGTTGTGCTCTTTTCTGGTTATGAGTAATGTGGAGATGAATCGGTAGTCTCCCCCTCTCCTGGAGATTCATGCTTCCATAGGAGGCGATTCAGCCAAGCCCGCCCAATGTCCAATGACCAGCGACGAGTGTTCCATGCATCCCGATCGGGCGACTTCCGGCCAAGCTCGTTTTTTCGCCTTTTTGCTTTTATTGGCGCACTCACCAATCAATTTATGCACACGTACACACTGGGGCACACTTCTATCCATGAGTTGTAAATACAACAAATAATAATAATAACAATAAAAAAATTAATTACGAAAAGCTCGTGAAAGTCGTTGTCGCTTCTGTGCTATGTCCCTCAAGTCCCCGATCCGCCTTATTTGGCGCCTTGACGTTCATAATTTCGTTTTACGACTGTCATTTTATTTGTTTGAAATTGAAAACCATAAAAGGCGCACAATTAAGATGCGTGTACGATGCTGTGTGTGTTTGAGTATAGTAAAAGTTTCTTTGTCCCGATCTTTGTTTTATTTTTTTTTTTTTTTTTGACTGTTTGGAAGTTGAGAGATCTTAACTAGAACGAGAGATCACTGATCGGTGTAAACAGATGGAAAAAATATTGGTAAGAAACTATGATCAGTAATTAAATATGAACAGTAAGTATCTATGACCATTAGTATCTATGACCAGTAAGTAACTTCAACAGTAGATAACTATGACTAGTAAGCAACTCTGAACAATGAATATATGACCAGTAAGTAACTATGATCAGTAAGTGGGTAAGAATGCTGACAGTTACTAACTTTGAACACTAATAAACGATGACTTGCAACTTTTGTAACAAAACACATTTCTGAAACTTGGCCGGCAGCAGTCACTTCGTTCCGGGGATGTTAGAACTAGTTGGGAATCATATGCACAGATGTGCGAGATTTGTTTTGGAACAAATTTAAGCTATTTTAATTAAACTACGGAATTATTCTTCTATATAATTTATAATATATATAATTATATATATATATATATATATATATATATATATATATATATATATATCTGACATAGGAACAGTCGGACGATTCATAGAACTATGATCAGTAATTAAATATGATCAAGAAGTAACTATGATCAGTAAGTAAACAATGAACATTAAGTAACTCTGAACAGTAAGTATCTATGACCAGTAATACAGTATGTTTGTTTGATCAGTTACTATCTTTGAACACTTATAAACAATGACTTGCAACTTTTGTAACACAACACATTTCAGATACTTGGCCGTAGCAGTCGCTTCATTCCGGGATGTTAGAACAGTTGGGAATCATATGCACAGATGCGCGAGATTGTTTTAGAACAAATTTAAGAGCAAGCTATTTGGATAAAACTATGGAGTTATTCTTCTATATAATTTAATAGTATAAAAGTCGGAGCACGGCGAATCGTAGGACTCTATACATACATATATACATATATAGCTGCCATAGGAATGATCGGAAAATTTTAAGAAAAAACATTCTATAAATTATAACTACACAGTGATTATTTATTATTATTACCCTGATCAAAACTAGCACAGAACAGCTTTCCGAAATGTCGCATTTATCACTACGTATTTTAAACTCTTTTACAACTAAAACTATTAATATTTACAGATATGTTGGGCCCCCAGATACCATACCAAGTGCATAATAATCTTACATTTTTTCATTGTAAAAGGGTAATTTACCGACGATTGATCAATACCAACTATTTATGCCCTACAGCTAAAGGAGCGGGCACTTGTGTAGAGTTCAAACAATTGTTTAGATCGCCGTCACGCCCAAGACCACAATTAATTGTTTAATAACATGCCATGTCACAGAGTCAAAGGAACTCGGCGAAAAACTCAACAGCTCAAAATCAATTCTCGCAAAACGATTTAAATATTTCACTCACTGTACTGTAAATCTGTTGATGATTTATAAATCAATTGAAATTGAATTTTGCAGCGAAACAGTTGAGCGAATAAATTTATGGTCGACTATGGGAAAAAACTTTTGCGTGCCACACAGTGGAAAATCATGGGGCATAAATCAGGCCCCAGCAAATGCCTCACAGCCGGCAGCTATGGCCTGACAGATGACATACAACAGATATGATGGCTATATGGTTGGTCGGGTTGGTTGGGGAGTCCGAGAGAACTGGAATCATTCGGAGCCGATAATTGGGCACTTAAGTGGCATTAGCCAGCCCCTCTCGCACAGTCTTTTTTGCGGAATGATTGAAAAATGCAAATATTTGCGGGGCGTCGCGTTGTTCCTGGAAACTCAGAGAAGTCCAAACAGAGCGCTGAAAAGCAGAAAACTGAAAAGAATCGGATCGAGACAAAGTCAAAGTCGGGCCAACAGCCTTGAAACTGAATACTCCGTTTCATTGCCAAACAAAATGCGGCCGTTGCTTGTCAAATGTGTCGTTCAGGAATGTCCCAGGAATCGGTATTGGGGTATTGGGACTGAGACTGTGACTCCGTGGAAACGAGGGGGCGGCAACTGCGTGACTTACATTTTGTCACAGCCGCCGTTGAGATTTCGAATTTGTCTTTCTGCCTGCCCGACCATTGTGCTCTTGTAATGCTGAAAAAGCGCAGCTCAATTTATTTTAATTAAGAACAATAAATACGCCGCTTCTCGGTAACCCCAGTGCAGTGTCTTTCCGCCACTCGATGCACCACATTTCGGCGGTGGTGCTGCGTCTGCGCAGAAGGAATCGTCGAAGACAACGGGGAGTGGCAGGGGCAGGAGGAAAAACAGCCACTACGCACGCACCGCCGCGCTCAATCAAAGTCAGAAAGTCGGGTTGACGACTGCCTGAGTACAGTGGAAATGCGTACAAAGAACCTACATTTGTCTCTCAGAGAATCGAGGTTGTTGGTATAAATAATTATAAATGGGTACTTTGACTCTATTGGGCAATTCTAAGATTTGTCATTAAACAAAAGGATTTTAAAATGTTACAAATATGAGTGATAGCAGGAAAGGGATAATGGGTAATTATAACGTACAAATATTTAGTTTTTTTTTTTAAAGAAGATATTTCAATTTATAAATATTTCACTGCATTGACAGAGAAAAGTTATGGAAGAGGCGGGGTGACTGGAATGGAGTTCTAGGGCAGTTCATGAACTTTGAACAAATGGGGCTCAGTGCCGCCGATGATGAGAAGGTGGAGGAGCGGCGGAAAGGGTAGAGGGAGTGGCATCTGCCACTGACAGGATGTAAATGAGTCCCTTGTTTGTCAACAGACTGCTTGTTACATATTAAGTACATTTTGTTTATTGTGCCCTCTGTCTGCTTTTACTTCATACTTTCAGTTGGGGCAGAGTCGGTGAAGTTTAGTCTTCACTTTGCCACAGTTTTGAGGCACGTTCGAAACATATTTAAAGTCAAACTACAAACACGATTGGGTGTTCAACTCTATCGGCATAAATAAGCAAATAAATAATCATACTAGAAACTTCAAATGGTCACGTATCTTCGATTTATTCCTTTGTTTAATAGTTGCTTTAAGATAAAGGAAGTAGAAGTAATAGTTCATCATTTAAAGTTACATATCAAAAGCAACTTGGAGAGTTAAGGGAAAGGAAATACTTGTAGTTAATAATTAACAAACTAATTAGTGCTAGGAGTATTATATCTTTCAATTTCCTTAATTAATTCACTTAAAAGTAGGTCGTTAAGAGGATATTTATCCATAAATCCACATAAATCACTCCGTAAATCTTGGCTTTTTAAAAGATTGCCAAATCATGAAGGTGCAAATAGGTACTTAAAGCTAACTGCTTAGCCTGCACATAGCGTTTTTCATTTCTAAAATCTTTTTTTGAAATCAAAACGTCCCCAATGACCCGACAACTTTTTGCCACAATTAATAAATCAGCAATAAATAAACACTATCCGTTTGACCGATTTTCGGAGCTCCAGTTCAAATGACTTCGCAGGCAATTACTGGCTTAAAGACGTTCGCCTCCTAATCGCTGGCACGTGCTAAGGTTACTTGGAATCACAAAGGCGATTTGGCATTTTCGGCTCTTCGCATCTCCGAGTCCAAACCCTGTCATTATCTAACCTCAATCAACGAGCGCTGCCCCGAGGGTCGCTGGTGTGGCTGCCTGAAACCGAGGGGACTCGAAAGAAATCCGGAGACTCGGTGTCACGCAAACAGTATACTTTATAAAGTATACAGTATGTGTATATATTGGCCAAACATACAACGGGGCACATACGGTCAAGGCCACTGGCCGTAACACTGGATCAGCGGGCACATCAATCAAATCAATGAAATCGAAGACAGCACCAATGGCACAGAGACAATCGTCGGGGAACAGTCCGTTGATTTTTGCGGGGTTTATCTCCCTCGATGCGGCCAGTTATTGTATTATAATGTTAGGTATTTCCTATGGATTCAACTCACCTATAAATTCGTTGCGAATGCGAATTCGCTCCTGCAGCGTGGCCGCCGAGATGATGACACAGTTGATGAAGGCCAACAGGGCGGCCTGGTAATCCAGTGGCGGCGAGGCGGCGGCACTCGACAGCTCTAGTTCGTTGATGACAATCTTGAAGCGGTATCGCTGCTTCTTGAGATTCTATTGACATATAACAAATATAAATATAATTTACTTATCTTTGGGGTCTCAAAAACACTCATATACCTTGTAAAATTCGAGGGTTTCGATGGCGCGGGCATAGCCATCGGGACTGTAGGCACAGAGGGCCGAGAGCAGCTCAAAGACCTGCTTCTTAACGGTGGCATTCTGCGTGTCCAGGGCAGCGCCCAGCTTGGCTATGTAGTCACGATTCTCGACGATGTAGTCCAGGCCGATGCGTGAGTCCATCTTGAATGTCGAGGCGGATTCTCGGTTCTTTTGGGACAACTCCTTGACGGACAGCGGATGATGATCACGTCCCCCAAAAACAGGGGCAATCGAATCGAGTCGAACCGGAGCGAGACGATCGATTATGGCGGCTAGTTGCAAGGGTTTCGACTCTTGCATGGAATATCTAAGCAGTTCACGTCATGCCGAACGCTCTCGTGCTCTGAATCTGTGAGGGAAAATCAGAAAATGGGAAAAGTCGGTTAGTTACTGGTCTAAGCTGCGATTGAATTGCATTTTTGGGGGCTCTGTCCCTTCAATTGTCGCCCTGTCACGCGTCGTCCCATATCTTGAGGGCTGCCCAAACCCCCGCCACGTTTTAATTAATTTACGATCGATTCTCTAGGCCTCGGGCCGAAATTGTCATAAATTAATTTTGGCCCAGTCCAAAGACGACCGCCAAGGGGCGTAACAGATTTTTAGTTTGTTCAGTTTTCGATTTTCGATATTCGATTTTTGGATTAACTTTCGAGGAGGCACGATCAAAGGCAACCTTTGGCGGGTTCCGCCTTCTAGATCGGCATCTAGATCGGCCCCTCAATTACTAGCAAACGATCTCGTTAATTTGTTTACACTCGATACGTACGGCAGTCAATACTTTCGATTAGTCGCCGACAAAAGCTGTCGTTTAGGTTTGCCGCATATTAAAATAAGATTTTTCATTAATATACAAACAAAAAAAGCGGCTATAAAATGCCTAACATATCTGTTAAGAGCTTTGATCTCAAGTGGCACTTTGCGTTATTTGAAATTATAATTTGTGTGTGCGCTAAATGCTCATGTTATTGCCATTGTTTTTATTGTTTTTCGCTGTTATTGTGTTATTATCGTTGACTTTTTAAAAGGCTGACATAGGCTGTGGGATCGGCATCCGACGTTCTGAGGCGGCGGCGCTAATGAAATCACATAAAACGCCGTCAAATTAATGGACAGACATTGCAAAGTGACATCCTTGCGATATGCCTTATTGTCAGTCGTCACTTAACATGATATTTCCGATAATGCCCGCAAAGTGCCCCGACTCGGAGGAGGAGAGTTCTCCGGAGAAAAACAAAAAACGAGTTCTCAATCAAAACACTGGCCACTTTGTATCTTGTTCTCGTTGAAATTTCGCTTGCTAAATGTTGATCTACACAACTGGGCTATGAGCTCTACCAATTAGCAAGTGATAGCCATCTCATCCAGTTAACCTATGCAAATTGTGCCCTTTTAAAGGCTTTCGCAGTGATTTAATCGATTCGGTTGATAAAACCGGGAGTGAAATAAAGCAGATCAGTGTGACAGATAAATATTATCGTGTTTTGTAAGGCGGGTTAAATATTTGTAGTACAAGTTATTATTACAGTAATCAAGTAAATCAATATTAAGGTTTTCAATCAAGTCAGGTGTGAGTTTCTGGTCACGTGCCATTGTAGCTTAAAATATATAACAAGGCAACAATTTCATTTAATTGTATATCTAAACTTCCTTCTTATTCTTATTAACTCATAAGATTTCTTAACCCAGAACTTTGTGAATCAGTGTGCTTGGTCTAAGCGTGCTGGGAATGGGCTTAAATAATTTAGCACAACACCCGCACAGAGGCTATGAATTTCCGAGAGTGATAGGACGATAAATTAATAATGCTTATCTCTAAACTGGTTCCATTAGCCCAGCCAGCCATCGCACTATTGTTGCTATTTATTGCAAAACAGCAGCCGAGTAAAATCGAAATTGAGTTGTTGTTTAAGAAAAAGGCAAAGGGAATAGCTGGCTGGGAATTGGTTCGGTATGGAAATGTTAATGAACTCGGGGGAGACTAATTAGAATCTGTGCGGAGCCTGGAGAAAAAGGTGCAAGCCCGTCTCGGTTGCCCATTTATCTTGTCGTGGATTTCGGACAAAATCGGGGCGTTGACAGGCGTAAATGACTTGCTCCCCCTCCGCCGACAGGTGGTGTTTGCCTCCGACTCGCTGGCGTCGTCGATAAAATGTCAACCCGAGCATCGAATGGCATACAGTAAATGCCCACAAATTGCTCACGCCGTTCGCTGCTGGCTGCCATTGTGGAAATAGTTCCCTCGTCATTGCCTAGCTCCCAGCTATGGTAAAGTGCAAGTAATAATTCACCGGTTTCAACAGTTTTCAGCCAATCCAAACCACTCCGCTGTCCCCCGGATAGTTTTCAATGTCTCGCGACATTATAATATTTCTGTATAAATTATGTTGCCGCTTATTAACCAAAGCCCACGGGGCGTATGCCGAATGGCTAAATGTGATTAAATGTTGTGCAAACTGCAGGTTTCTGGGCAGGGCTTCGATACAAAGGTATTTTCGGGCTGGGCAGGTGCATTCCGCTCATCAGTTAGTATTAGAGGTGAAACAAGATCGGCAGTGTTATTAAGACAATGCAATGTAGTTTATAGTAAATATTGAGAAGTATCTTTCATTCATATAAAGACATCAATAATATTTCAATTGGAAATAAAGGCAAGGTCCGATAATTCCAATGTTATTATTTACTGCAAACTCGAATGCCTTGCCATCGCTAGAAGCTAGGACACTTGACCAACTTGGCCAGAAACTGGACTGAGAAATCAAGCATGCTTGAGGAGATTTACGAATGTAAACAGCTGAAGATCAACTACCGTAGCGGCAACATCAACATCGACAGCAGCAGCAGTAACAGCAAACGGCAAGAGCAACATCAACTTGGGCAGCAGCAACATCTGTTGCAATCGGCGCAAGGTCGTTCCACATGTGATATTTTATTTTTTTTTTTTTTAATTTTGGCCTGGCCGCCACCTGTAACAAATTGTAGCAAATGAAGCTGCAGTGGAAGCCGGAGTGGACGTCTCTGGGTTTTTTTCTATTAACATTTCCAACGGGTGTGTCGCCGACGCTACTGCCTCTGCTTCTGCTGCTGCTGCTGATGCTAAGGTGACTGCACAGTTTTCATAAATTTTTATTGAATTTTTATGGCTGCAGGCAGCCGTCGTCATCGTCACATTGAATTTGCATGCTGATGTCTACACATAAAGCACACCGAATAAATAAGCATAAAAAATAAAATAAACAGTCGAACAGCCATTGAGAAAAGTGTTTTGCACTTAATCGTAAAGGCTGCTTGCTGCTGCTGATAAAAACGCTACAAAAATGGAAACTTGGTAAAAGTATCATTAGGCTAATAGCATAATTTATCCCTGTCATCCGGCATACATCTTGATCTGTCTTGGTTCATATAGTTTATATTGAATTGTTTATAAGCTGCCTTATCAACAAACGTCGCAGAGTGTGAGAATGTGTCTGGGAACCGAGCAACTCAAACAACTCGAGCAACTCAAACTCAAACAGAACAGACGCTTTGTTGCAGCTTTCGATTTGAGAAAATGTGAAATAAAAAAAGCAAACAGACAGACATACAGAAAATCATGGAGTTGGAGTCATAACACTTGACAACAGACGGCACAGCAGCAATATCGCATCGCATCGCATCGCATCGTATCGCTGCAACGCCGGCGACAGCAGCAACATCATATGGCGACGATGTCTCCGGCTCCGTCTCCGTCTCCGTCTCCGTCTCCGACTTGCAATCAAAACACGATCTTGGCGCTCAGCATTGACCTTATGGCTTCTAAAATCGGTAAAAACATCTTTACAGCTCCATGTGGCACAGTCGATTGTTGTTACTGTCGCTAAAAATACGAAAACTCAAGCGTACTTGAAACTGGGATACATTTTATAGCCTTTATAGGTACACAGAACCAAAATTATTTAAAATTTTTAAAGGAAACCCCACATACATATATATCTGTTATTTTTGTATATAGAGTGATTTAGATAAATAGTAATTTATATGACAAATACCATCAAAGTGGTTATTATCAGTTAAATTCAAACAGTTTTTCCATTAATTTATTTTTTCTGTGTATTTTTGAATGTCCGTTTTCAATTCCAAGCGACTCATTCATAAAGCGAAATGTGGAAAAAAGTGGAATAATTTTTTAAGGATACCGCCTTGCACATTTTCGGTTATATGTCAAGTTTAAGTGGCAGACGCCAAGGTCGCCACTCGGCAACTCGTCCACTCGGAGGCGTCGCAAATTGAGCAATTAGGGCGTGGCCAAGTCCGCCTCATTTGCACTTACTCCACCGACTTAATTCGTCAATTAGCCGGGGCTAAGGTAATCACAGCTTCGGCTGGAACCGGCTGGCCAACTGGACAGTCCCATCAACTCGAGAGCCGTGATCCAAGCAACCGAAATCGTGGGCGTTCAACAGCCAAATTCAAGAGCCACAACAAAGCAAATAAGTTTAATGATTTTTTGTATTTTGAGTATATTGTACCGTCAACAAAGAACGTTTGACTACGAAAATAAATAAAATGCAGCCCACGGACCAGAAAACAGACGAAAAATGGTTAAAATACTGCGTAGGTTTTGCATTTTGATGATGACCACAAGCCACAGAGATCACCCAACTAGCAAGATCTCTTCAAACTACATATATCTATGATGATTCTATGCGGATGGCGAATGTGCTGTGAAGTGGATGATTCCAAAGTCAACATTTTGTAATCCATCATCCATAACTTATTTACTGGTTGTAAAGATAATACCAAAATACTTGGAATAATAATAACATTCCCATAATAAATGCATCACGAATTAGAATACAATTGTAAGCTGGAAATGTTTACGTGTTATTTTTCGATGATTTTCTAGATTTTGTACAGCTTTTATTTATTGAGACAACATACGTCCACTTAATAATTTTACAGAAAAAGCTGACCAACATTTATTTATAGAATGGATCTCCCTATGATCCTAAATATATAAATTGATTTCTCAGTTAAATAATAATATACATAGAATTAACTCATTATTCTAATAGTTTCTAACTCTGGTTAAATTAAATATGTGTCATGTTTTTTTTATCTCAGAAAATATTCAAAAAGATTCTCTGGGAAAATAAATTAAATAGTTTGACTTTGAAATTTGAATAATCCCACGCTGATTTCGTTTAATCAGCACTTTTATGAACCAAATGTTTTGCTATAAATACAGACTTAAAACCCAACTCATTAGGTTGATTCCATGTTATTTAAACAAACCACTCTTGTTTGCGTTTTAAAAGCATTAAAAGTGACCGCAAGAAACATGGTAGCAATAGACTCCAATCACTTAATAGA